AATCTCTAAAAATGAATTTATTAAAATTATCAGAGAACAAGGAAAATCTATATCAGTACCACCATCTCCGAATAATAACACTATCAATATTATACATGAATAATTTAACCAAATATAGTTTACCAAATAGCATTAATAATTTAGTACTACTTAAAGAAATTATAAATTATCAATCTTGTATAACTTAGCATTCAAGGCACACGGAATAGATATAATAACATTGTAACCTAGATGGCGCAATTTTAATATGCCTATAAAGGGAAAAGCATGCGACAGCACTATGCGATGGATGGAGCATAGTAGCACCAAGAAAATATAAATATTTAGGGCTCATGCCACAAATTGGCACCTACATAACAATAGTCGATATGAGTGTTTGGTTTACACTCAAAACAATCAATCAAAACATCTATCCATATGATAATAATAGAAACACCAATAGGAATTAGAAAATTAACCACACCATGGGAAGTGTGACAAAAGATATCATTAGTCAATGAACAAATAAATAATATCACCAAATGGAGCAAAGAGTAAGACTCTACATCACTAGTTGAATTATTCTTAAGATCAGTTGATCATAACAAGAGAATAATAGTGAAACTCTCGGGAAAGTAGATCCGAGTACTCTTAAAATAAAATCAGAGTAACAAACAATCAGGGACAAAGAAATCTTTATTGTAAAACACTAAAGATGTGCTTTTAGATAAGTTATTCCAAAAGGAATATCTCTGAAGTACTACGGGAAAGTAACGAATTGGGCCATTATTATTACCAATCATGTATAACAACAAAAGATATTTAAACACAGCAAAAATTATCATCCTAAACGATAGAACGAATGGACCTTAATGAACAAACAATAATCGATAAAACAACCATATTTAGAAAAATATACCAACTCTTAAAAAGACAAATTGAATTATTCGAACAACCAACAACTTCTCAAATTATAACAAGATTAACATTAAGTAAACTAAACTTAAGAGAATTAGTAAAAACCAAAGAATTCTTTTCAGAACAAGAAGAAAGCTACCAACAAAAGCTTGAAAAATTAATCAACCTTGAAGGACAGGAATACAAACAGAAGGTAATCAATTTAATAGAAAAAGCACAACAAGTAGCTCAGGACGAATCTAGGAAAAATCCAAAAACACAACAATATCAGAAAATAACTTGGGTAAAAAATTGCAAAGCCTGCGACTATTGTGCCAAATATAAAAAGAAGTGTGAATATCAAAATAACCAGAAAAAGTGTAACTGGTGTATCAAAAAAAATATTGAATGCACAACAACAAGAATAGATTCACAAACCTTTAAAGTAAAAAGAACTAAAGGACAAACATTAATAGAAACATTCGAAGAAACAACTGCTGAAGAAACTATTGAAGAGACACTCAAAACATTATTTGACCATATATTAAATTGAATGATATTAAATACCAAGTGTATTCATTGTACAAGAATACATAAACGGTGTAAAAAGAAAGAAAATCAAGAAAAGTGTGAATACTGCAAAAGAAACCAATTAGAGTGCAAATATGAAAAAAAGAAAATACGAGAACAAGTACCTGGAAGTCGAAGATATAATGAAGAAAAATTAATAACAGGAATAGAAAAGGTCATTAAAGAAGTTAACAATATAATTACTCAAAGAAATCAAAGTAAAAGCAATAAAAATCAATAGTGTGAATATTCAAAATGACA